CGAGCTCGGCTCCCTGATCTGCGGCGTCGCCAACACCTCCAAGACCCTCATTATCGGGCGCGCCATCGCCGGCATTGGTTCAGCCGGCATCTTCTCGGGCGCGCTGATCATTCTCGCCTACGCCGTGCCCCTCGAGAAGCGACCCGTATACACCGGCTTCATCGGCTCCATGTACGGCATCGCCTCCGTCTCGGGCCCGCTTCTCGGAGGCGCCTTTACAGACCAAGTCACCTGGCGCTGGTGTTTCTACATCAACCTCCCCATCGGCGGCATCACCATGGCCGTCATCGGCTTCTTCTTCCCCGACCCGAACCGCGAGAGACCCCAGGAGGAGACCTGGGCCAAGACCATAATGAAATTCGACCCCTTTGGCACTGCGGTATTCATGCCTGCCATCATCTGCCTGCTGCTCGCGCTGCAATGGGGCGGCACCACCTACAAATGGAACAACTGGCGCATCATCTTTCTCTTTGTGCTCTTCGCCGTCTTGATCACCGCCTTCATCGCCATCCAATTCAAGATGCAAGACGAGGGCACCGTCCCTCCCCGCATCATCAAGCAGCGCTCCGTGTGGGCATCCGCCCTCTTCACCTTTTGCCTGGGCGCCGCCTTTATGGGCTCCGTTTATTACCTGCCCATCTGGTTCCAAGCCGTCAAGGGCGCGACAGCCGTCAAATCAGGCATCATGAACCTTCCCATGCTTCTCGCGACGGTAATCCTGTCCGTCGTCGCCGGCGCGCTTGTCTCCTATCTAGGCTACTACGCCCCCTTTATGATTCTCTGTTCGGTCGTTTCCAGCATCGGCTACGGACTGCTGACCACCTTTGAACCCGACACCAGCTCTGGTAAATGGATCGGGTACCAGATCCTCGTCGGCGCCGGACTGGGAATGGGGCTCCAGCAAAGTCTCATGGCGGTGCAAACCGTGCTGGAAATGAAGGATGTATCGGTCGGTACGGCGCTGATGGTGTTTGTGCAGACGCTGGGCGGCGCGCTGTTTGTGAGTATTGCGCAGAATGTGTTTACGAATAAGCTGGTGCAGTATGTGGGCGAGCTGGCGCCGGGGTTTGGGGATCCGGAGAATATCTTGCTGTTGGGCGCGACGAGCGTGCAGAAGACGGTGGATAAGAGTGTGTTGCCGGGAGTGACGAGGGCGTATAATAATTCGTTGACGGATGTGTTTATGGTGTTTGTGGCGATGGCGGTGGCGAGCGTGTTTGGGGCGCTGTTAGTGGAGTGGAAGAGTGTGAAGGGGAAGAATGTGGAGGTTGGGTTGGCGTGATTTGGTGATGATGATCAGGTTGGGAGGGTTGGGTGCAGTAGGAATGGAGGATGTAATCTTCCCTTGGATGGGTGTTAATGGGTCAGTAATGATATGTAGACAGGTTCATCGGTTTTAGATATCTCCCAACTCTTGGTGTCAAATAAAAGTGTATCACATTCCAATTCTCCCGAGCAAGGAGAAGCAAAGTGAGAGGGAAAATTGCGATTCGAAAAAGGGAAGCTACTATTGATTCTAGTGCTAAATTACTTGTCATATCGGTACATGGAGGTATATCCTCGATATACTGAACGAGAGATCTCTTCCAAACTGTTTCAAACCTGACTACGACAGGCTTGAATGAAAGGCATTAAAGAGATTCAGTACGGTGGGTATGGTAGGTTTATCTTGGAAACAAAAATGCATACTGACAGCATGAAACATTGCGAAAGCCATTACGGACGTGATTCACTTACACGGGCTGTTAAGTGTAGTACCTAGTACCTAGGTAGCTTGTTAGCAACTCAATAAACGACTGGTGTTCTTTGAAAAATCTAGGTTGGGAAAAATCCTCTATTCCCAAAAATGATACCTTCCTAAAGCAATCATCACCACCAAGGCCAGGGTAGATATGTTGTGTTAATTGGCGAAATCTCCAACCTGGCGATGATGTATCGGCCGTCTGGATGGCGTGATATAACACAATCAACGCCAATCCGGGGTTCAACCGACGCTATCGGACCCCGGGTGAGGATCATACAGACATCCGCTAAATAACAGGGCTAATCCCGGCTTACGGCGTCTAACTCGGGTACATACTAGTGTAAGATCCGATAGCGACAGCTACCGGCAGAAATTCACTCAATTCGTAGATTTTATCACCACGCTATCCTGGCTACCTAATTACATTGTGTGCTTACATGTGCATGCAGCGTATTGGGATAAATCCGACGACAGTGAGGATTGGCGGGTAGACGGGTACAAGTGCCGGCCACTTTCTCTTTTATAAATGTCCCATTGTCCCGCCTCATTGTTCGTCTCAGTCTCACATACACACAACAGTCAGCATCATGTCCAGGATACAACAACAGCAACAATAGACAAAAATGCCCATCAAGAGGGTAGCCGTCATCGGCGCGGGCCCCGCCGGCGCCATCACCATTGATGCCCTCGCCCAGGAAAGGACATTCGATCTCATCCGCGTATTTGAAAGACGAGAAGGACCAGGAGGATGCTGGTGAGTCTTGCTTACGTCCTTTCACACCTCCTCTAGGTTCATCTCACTAACTCAGACCTCAGGATAGGCGACACCAACCGCCCTCAACCCCTTACCGACTTCGTCGCCCTCTCCAACCGCACCGCCGACCCACCAGTTCCCATCCCGGAAGTCCTCCCCTCCTTCACGCCCAAACTTGACCAACAGCGCTTTTCCGAATCCTCCGTCTATCCTTACCTAGAAACCAACGTCGACGCCCTCCCTATGGAGTTCAGCCAGGAACCCTTTCCCTCGGAAAAGAGCGAGTTCTCCATTACCTTGCACGGTCCCAACACGCCGTTCCGCCACTGGAAGAGCGTGCGGGGGTACATTGAAGGACTAGTGAACCGTAACGGGTATCAGGACTTGGTCTCGTATTCCACGACGGTTGAGAAAGTGGAAAAGGTCGGCGACGAGTGGAAGCTGACGCTGCGCAAGGAAGGAGAACAAAAAGATTATTGGTGGGCGGAGTGGTTCGATGCCGTGGTGGTGGCCAGTGGTCATTACTGGGTGCCGTGGATTCCTGCGGTCCAAGGTCTCGAAGCGTTTGAGAGGCAGAGGCCGGGAAGTGTACTTCATAGTAAACAGTTCCGGGGGAGGGAACTTTACCTGGACAAGGTTCGTTGTACAGCACATACATCATCCCTTTACCATTTCCCTCGCTTCGTTTTATCGAATAAAAACTGACACCACGCACGACACGCGCAGAAAGTAGTAATAGTAGGCGCCTCCGTCTCCGCCGCCGACATCGCCTACGACCTCGCCCACTCGCGCACCGCCCAGACTCCCGTGCACGCTGTTACTGTAGGACATAGCTTCAACGGATACTTTGGCGACGAAGCATTCAAGCACCCGCGCATCAAGAACCACCCGTCCATCTCTAGGGTCTGTCCCAAGACCCGCACCGTTTATCTCGTAGACGGCTCGTCCATCCCCGACGTGGACCACATCATTTTTGGCACGGGGTACACCTGGACCTTACCCTTCCTGTCGCACAACATGAGACCCGTCCGCAACAACCGCGTCCCGGACCTCTACCAACATGTCGTCTGGCAAAAGGATCCGTCCCTCTTATTTGTCGGTGCCGTCGGCGCCGGATTGACTTTCAAGGTGTTTGAGTGGCAAGCGGTGTATGCTGCGCGGATACTGGCTGGGCGCGCGCAGGCGGTGCCGACGGTGAAGGAGATGCAGGAGTGGGAGGAGGAAAGAATCAAGGAGAAAGGCGATGGGCCTAGGTTTAGTTTGATATATCCCGAGTTTGAGGAGTACTTTGAGACGTTGAGGAGGTTGGCGGGCGAGGGCGAGACGGCGAGGGGCGTGGGGAGAAAGTTGCCTAGGTTTAGGCCGGAGTGGTTCAGAGCGTTTATGGAGGGGCATGATTTGCGAAAGAGGATGTGGAAGAGGGTGAATGAGCAGGCGAGGGAGGAGGACAAGTTTTCGAGGGCGAAGTTGTGAGGGGGGGGTGGGATGGTGCTTTGGGATTGCGATGCTGGATATGTATGGTGTTTCAAAGGGAAGAGGAAAGTTGGGCGATGATATGACATAAGGGGTGGGACACTAGTAACAATGCCTACCTAGGTAGGTAGGTATCAGATACGCGCGGGGATTTGGTGTAAATCAAATGAAGATGCTGCATAAGCCACTAGTATAATCCGCGCTTCAGCAATGTGATATGCTATATGGCCCCCGGGTATCGTCTCTCAACGACCGACGCTTCGAGCTTCATCAACCCACGACCTTTCCCCTTTTCGTCTTTTGACTCGTCTTGTACTTTCAAATCCCCACAACTCCGTTTCCGCTTTCATGTATGCTCCCCTCATCTAGCCTCGCACATGATTCCGTGGAGGATGTGATCCTTCCCGAGGAGACATCGGACGAGTGTTAGTGAGGTTGGCAGAGTCGGTGGCGGTATAGCACATTATACCATACCAGACCCCGACGGAGAGGAGCATATTACTGCTGGATATTTCCAAGAGGACGATGCCGGAGAATTAGGAGGTAGGTAGCTGGTTATACCTACCTACCTATATAGGTATATAAGTGATAAGCCGATATGGTACGAATTGGCTACCTATCCTGTTACACTGTTCTCGATGCATTTTCCTGACTGCTCTCTGGCATTTGTTGATTCAGTTTCATCGTCACAACTTATACATCCTTTGAGTATGCCGCTACCGTTCTATCTTAAGGACTAAAGTAAGATGATTCGGTTGCTAAGGTAGGTAACTGAAGAATGGGGCTAGATTACGATGTCTAATGCAAAGAGGCGAGAGTTTTACGCATACAGAATATGTATGTAAATTTCTCTTCCTATTTTCATCCAGGAATGTCTTTCATGTCTTAAAAGAGGAATCGTGTCCAACCTATAAGATGTAATGAAAGCTTGTTCCTGGGATATGTCCCCGAAATGCATCGAATGTTTCCTCGGCTTCAGAAGGGATCCCTGGGGACGCTGGGGTGTATGAGAAAGACCTGCCTGCCTGCCTAGTTCCATTCATGCTCATAGATCTTTCTCCTCTCCACCCACAGGATAACCTTCTTCTTCCCTTCATGGTCCGGGTCATACTTGATGAGAATGCGTCCGTTCGCTTGATTATCGAGGACGCGCTGGTTATCCGTGGGCTCATAAATCACCTCCTGCCACCTCGCCCTTCCTGCTTCCGTATTAGGGTCCAACAGGCTGACAATTCCTCCCACCGTACTCTTGATCCGCGACCACTTCTGCTGATAGTCCTCCACATACTGATCATTAGCTGGCCCATCAGGCCTCACCAAGAAGGCTCTGATGTTATCGCCCTCGTCGTTCCCAATCTTGCGTGGATCCAGCTTCTCCTGGGAGACGACGGTGCGGCGACTTGCGCCGTTTTGGAGCGGCGTAAGCACGGTCCGCACAAACACTTGCTCGTTGGTTTCCTTGACCCCCTTGACTGTCAGGCGAAAATCATCATCCGGGTCGAACGAGATGTTCTCCCAGTAATGCGTCGTGTAGACGCCGCGTTGGCTGATGATCACCAGAGAGGTGCACCCGCAGAGATGGCTGGTGCCGACGCTGACGGCTTCATTTCCGTCAAAAGGGGTGAACAGGGCCGTGTTTACGTCGGTGCCTTCTGGGACTTCCCATACCATTTGGGTTGCTTTGGGGATTTCGTGGAACGTGAACTGATCCTCCTGGCCGGGGGTCGGTTCGGTTATTGCTCGCTCTGCTAGAACAGCGGAGGAGACATTGATGGCTTCATGTCCGACCTGGACGTGATACGCCCGCGCAGAGAAAGAGTCGGCAATGGTGAACACCACAGGGGGTCTGCAAGCGCCGCAGGCTTTTTGGCCTTGGCTTGTGTTCCCGCATCCATCTCGCTTTTTGAAGGGAAGAGGTGGCAGACTGAGGAACTTGGGAGACCGTTTGAGTGACAAATGAGTCTGATCTCCGGCGAAGTTGGCTGTAACTCAGTTAGCACCTCTCATGAGCTTGACAATGGCCATCACTTTTGAAGTTCGACCTACCTCTACCTGATAAAGACAGGAGCGTAGAGGCGCTGAGGACGATGAGGGTCACAAGCAGCACTAAGCTGCCCCGCGCCGTAAGAGGAACCAGGGATGTCTTCATCTCGTGAGCTTGTAGGAGCGGGAGAAGTGTGGATCTAATGTACAACACAGGTTATGTCCAGGTGCGTAAAGACTGAGAAGTTGGGATTGTAATAAGGGCAGTGATGAGTGTGAAGGGTGAAGCCTGTCTGGCGAGAAGAACTGAAAAGCGGCTAGATCTTTTATACATGGCCGTGAAGAGACGTTTTCCATCTTACTCCCCCGGAGTAACCTTGGTCTTGCCCTTCAGAAAGTCGTAAATCGTCAGGTAAGCCTTGTGCTCCTGACTCTTGTCCTTGGCCACATCCGCTGCCGTACGGCCGTTGAAGACGACGTTGGGATCAGCTCCTAACTCAATAAGCGCTTCCACAATGTCGCCTCTGTAGTGCCATGCGGCACAGTGCAGCGGTGTTCCCTTCCTTTTGGGATCAATGTGGTTGATGTCGGCCCCGGCCCGGACCAGTTGTTGCACCCTTTCTCTGATATCTGACATCTTGTTCCGTTCTCTGGACCCGATGACATAATGAAGGATGTTGGGCTCTAACGCTGCGCCGTGCTCCAAAAGGAGACGCATGGCATCACCACCTTCCTTGGCGACCACAGCTGAGACGAGGGGCGAGGGGGCCTGATCATGAGCAACGTTGGGGTCCGCACCATGCGCGAGGAGCCAGCGCATGAGGTTCTCCTTGCCAACAGACATTCTGGTTCCAATGGTGAAGTTAGCCTCCTCGATATAATGCTGGGGAGTTGAGATGATCCTACCGAAGTGCTGTACCATCTTCAAACTCGGTCGAGTTGATGTCAAAGCCGTACTTGATGAAGAGTTCGAACATGGTCGGATCGCCGCGGGTGGCACTTCCCACGAAGCTCGACCGGTCAACCTTTGCGCCTTTGGAAAGCAAGATGTCGGCCACAGCAGGGTGACTACCCCATGCAGCCTTGGACAGGCCTTTCTGCAGTTGGTCGTCTGATACGACTTCGTTTTCGAGAATTCTGGTAACCGCTTCGACGTTGCCGGTTTCGCAAGCGGTGATGAAGTCGCTTTCCGCAGCCATGATCAATGTGTTGATGAGGCGCAAGTATGCTCAATGGGAGAAGAGTAATGGTCAGGTAAAGGTTGTGGTGTGAAAAGAGGCCCCCAGTTACGGACACGCGCTCAGTGAAGTCGATTTCCTACAGTCGGGTTGTTGTGGTGGGAATGAATGCTACCTCGAGTTGGCGGGGTGTCGAGTTGAAGAACCAACAGCCGAACGGTGAGGAGACTGAGGGTAGTGTAGAAGTAAGTTTCGTCTCTTGTGGGGGCCGCGAACACCAAACAAGAGCCAAGGGCCGGGCCGACGGCTCCTGCTAGATTCGGCAACCATCATGAGTCAATGTGACCTGCATTCGATCCTCCCGTGTAACTTTTCGGGGGCGGTGACATCGAGATCCACAGCAATCCTCAGGTTTCAAGCCACTCAACTTGTGTTCCATGCAATCCGCGACTGTCACGACTCCATTCAGAAGAAGAGAAATGCCAAGGCACGAGCGGTATGTAGGTCTTCTTGCATCTGATCCCATCGAGACCTTTTAGCCAAGATCAGCCACGCTGACATTCCCAAAGGAAACAACAACATCCACACACACACACTGTACCAGGCGCCAACTGTTCAACATGACACTTCGCCTGACATCTCGTGATGATGTAGGCGTGTCGCCGGCAAGGTGTGAAGGGGCATGCCACCAATGCCACCCAGCTCAGCTTCATCTCAGCTTTACTGAGCTTGTGAGAGGCACAGTGAAGAGAGACATCACCAAGTATGTCATCAGACGACAGTCTGAACATGTATAAGATGGCTGTGTCCATCTTCAATAAAGTCTCAAGCAGCCAAACAATACCGTCCCAATACCGCAGTTCAGCAACATTGCAGCTTGACACCTTATAACATCGTCTCCTCCACCCCAGTTTTCGAACTCAAGATGCGATGGCTTGCTAGACACGCCTTCGAGCGTGGATTGGGCCTTCTTTCCCTCTTGACTCTGGCAACAGCAAACCAAGTGCTCGACCTTGGAGCTCTTGACCAGTACACACCCCTTGTAAGCCACCAGACCCGGATCCTCCAAGTCCTCTTTTCACACAGACATTCGGAACTACCACTGACACTCATCACACAGCGGAACCCTCCCTCAACCCTGCCCTCAAACACAGTCTGGCTTTCCGCCAAGGATAATGACCATGAACGTGGATTTCTGGTTGCCGTCTCCCCAGATGTCAAGAAAAAGATCAACGACGCTCTGAAGGACTGTCCAACTGTCGACAACCTTTGCTTCCAATATGTACGGGGAATCCTCCGCGAGGCCGACTTGGAAGTCGACAGCAGCGTCAGTCGCCGAGACTTCTCACGCATCGTTTCGCGCTTTGTCTTGCTTCTTGGTGGCTTGTTTGTAGGAATTGCTTCTGTTTTCATCGCCCAAGAAAGGTTAAGTCAGCAGCACCAAGTCCCCTTATCCCAGTTTCTTCCTGCAGCCCAGGCTACTCAGGTTACCGCCATCACTAATGGTGTGCCACTGACCGTATCCGCGGCTGGGACCGCTGTGGTGACGGTGACCATGGCCCCAGATCCGACCACAGTCACCGGGTATGTTGGCCTCGTACCCAACTACCTTCATAGTCTCCCACATGCTAACTCCATCCTTCAGGCTTGTCACCCCCAGCGCCACCGCCGTTACAGGCAATGAGAAAGACGCGGTTGCTGGAGACACCATCATCACCCTAGACGCATCCCTGGCTAGCCGCCTGTCTGAGATCATGCGCCGAACAACAGACTGCAAAGAAGGCAGCGACTTTGACGCAGAGCAGGGATCAAAGCGAGACACCAAATATGGCGCCGTAGTGTGTGGTGTTCGGGGAGCCGTCGAGATGGCCACTCCCGGTGGACCTCTGCACGATCTAACTCTCATCCGAGTCGCCACCCCGGACCTCCTCTCCAAGCTGCGAGCCCCTCTGACGGCTGCAGCCCAACGGGCGATTGACATTGCAAAGGACTATGTCCCGTTACTGGAGATGCCACCGGGAGTCTTCGACGACATCATTGTCCTCGTCTTTGCCTTGGGCGTCCACAATCTCATCGATAACGTTCCCCTGAGCGGAAGGAACATTATTCCCAAGGACATCCTAGATAATACCAAGCAGATCCCTACTACAACAGCCACATCGTGCACCGGCACCGCAACGGCTTGTCAAGCAACCTGCACCGAAGTTGGTGCCCAGTTCTTTGCTTGCAAAACCAGTTGTGGAAGCTGCGCCACTCAGACGACCTCGATTCAGACCGTCACCACCATTGCCTGGCCAGGACCCGCAGGAGGAGGACCTGTGGTCCCAACCGCCACCGCCCATCCCGAATGCCAGATGGACCAGCCAGGCATCCTGCCCTGGAACATCTTTGACGGCTCCGAGTACAATGTCGTCAGCCACTTCTGTTCCGAAGTCGACCGCCAGCCTGCCTCTTCCCGCTCTTGGATTGTCGATACAAAGGGCAACAAGATTCCCGTGCTGAAACAAGTCAAGCCCTCCTACTCCATCTCCAACAAACGATCACCACCCACAACCCCAGACACTTACAAAGACTACCGCGTCTCCCTGCAATGGCGACCTTCCCCTTCTTCCGCACAATCCGACTGTCCCATGAGCTGCGCTGAAGCCTACCGCGCCATCGCCGACTCTCCCTGCGGTCACACAGGCGGCGAACAAAACGTCATGGCCCTCTCCGGTTCTCTGGACGTTACCTGTGGCACTTATTCGTACCACATCATCCCTCCTGGTTCTTCTTCCGACAGCGGCGGTACGCCCCTGGCCCTCCAGGAGCAGCAATGCTACCTCGAGTCACAGTGGCCGAAGCACTTTGACGTGCACGAGGGGTCAGTCAAGCAGGCTGCCAAGGTGGCGTGCGGCAGCGAACTGAAGTTGCCGGAGAAGATGAGCAAGGATAGTAAAGCGTGGGAGGATGTGCACATGTGGGGACGGACGGGAATGAAGTTGAAGATGCGCGTCGAGTGGAAGGATGGGTGTGTGTTGGCGGGTGGGGAGGCAGAGCAGGAGCCGAGGAGGCCGTTGGGCGCGGGGGGTGTGGACGGGAAGGATGGGTGTTATGAGTTACTTTACAACGATTGGAAGAATTGTAAGTCTTCTCTTTTCCAGCCACTCCATTTGGTGGTTGAGGTCCAGCGCCCTCTATGAGCAAGTCGTTTGCTGACGTTTGATCGATATAGGCAACAACGGGGGTGTGGGTGGCTACCGACAAGCTGGCTGCTTGGTGTATTCCTTTTCACCAAAGTGATGAGTGCTAGGAGCTCGGGACGTTTGAGGTGGACACCAGGAAAGAGACCGGACCTCGAACTCTGTTCTTCTGGTTTCACCGACGACGGTCGTAAGATGGTTGGAAGTCACGGGGAACCATGACGGCCCTTGGCGTTGGTGATTTTGGCCCCCACAAAGCACGAGAACGACTGAACGGCACGCAGGTCGATCCGTAAAACAGAACATATCTACACAGTGTTCCTATATGTTAAGTGGTTTACGAAGTAGATCTTCCCGTATTTGTTCATTCCCCGCTCACCTGCCCTTCATCTCCAGCATCGCAACGAGCTGAGAGGTCTCAAGCTTATGCCCGTTCGGTGTCATCCATATCTGGGCTTCGATCACTTGTGCGGTATAACATCACCAAACAATCTCTAGAGTACTTCCCACAATCACGTTCTCCATCCTCCACTGTTCAACACCATTATTTCAACCGCAATTATGACCATCACCGCGCACTTGTACCATCCCGACTTTCTCTCCGCCTGCCGAAGCGGCAATCTCGAAACCGTCACCAGGATCCTCAATCACGAGACTCCACAAGTATCAACAGCCCAGCTACAAGACGGTCTCACAGAAGCTGTGCAGGGAGAGCATCTTGCCGTAGCAGACCTCTTGCTCTCTAAAGGAGCCAGGGTCAATCGGAGGACTTTTCAAGCAGCTATCATCCGCGGCGACCCAACTACATTCGAGGTCTTTATCAAGAATGGGTGGGATGTTAACACCACTGAGTTTGAGGAGGGGACGGCGCTTAGGTATGTATCTACTTGCCTTACCTTTGCCCATTGTAACTCAACCTCGTGTCCCATCGTCATATACCACATTGTCTCTCGTTTCCAGGTACCTACCCACGTACCTACTTACCCTATCACTTTCACTTAAGAAAAAAGAAAAAAAAAAGAAGAAGCTAACAATTGACGGAACACTCCCCACACCAACCAGGATGTCCATCAAGAATCCACCTCTCATGAACCTCCTTCTCACCCACGGCAACGCAGACCCCAACCTCCTCTCCATCCCCCTGAGAGGCCGAACTCGCCGCGCTCCCTCGGCACTCACCACCGCCATCGTCGCCGAAGGCCAAGCAGGCGCCGACGCCATTCGCACCCTTTTGGCTCACGGCGCGGACCTAGAGCCCAACATGCTCCATAGCGCCATCGAGGCTAGTTGTAGGTGGAGGAATGTTCCTAGCAAAGACCAGGCCTGCGCTCAGCGGGTTCGATTGCTCATTGATGCAGCTACTGCACAAAAAATAAAAGGGGGAGACAAGGAAAAGAAAAAGGGGGGCGTTCAGTGGTACTTGAATTATCTTGACCCTAAGAAAAAGGGCACGCCGCTGCATTGTGCGATTTGGTGGCGGAGGTTGGAGACGGTGCAGGTGTTGGTTGAGGCAGGGGCGGATGTGGTGGTGGGGTCGGCGTTGTATAGAGGCATGACGGTGATACAGGCGGCGAGGAGGAGGGTGGAGATGATGGAGGGTCAAGGTCATGAGGAGGCCAAGAGGATCTGGGAGTGGTTGACGGGGAGGAGGTGGGAGGATCGCGATGGTAGGGAGGAGGAGGAGGAGGAGGAGGAGGAGATCGAGGATGTACCGGAGGATGTCGGGGAGGGGAAGAGTACGCTGATGGTGGAGGAGGACGGGGTGGAAGTGGCTGAGAATTGTGCATGTGGTGAAAATACCTCTACGGGGATGGGGAGAGATAGACCGTACCTAGGGTTTGGGGCGTTGGATATCAAGCTGACATTGTCCGGTTATGATACCTAAAATAAGGTAGTCTAGAAGCCCTCGCGGGGTTTTTTTTTTTTTTTTTTTTTCCGCAACGGGCGCGGGAAGGGTTGTACTTGACGTGGTGGGTGACATAGAGCGAATTGATAGCATGGGTTGGGGATATTAAGAGGAGGAGTGATGTCGCTGAAGTAAGACGGTGGCGCGGTTGAGTTTGATCAAGTGGAAAGACAATGTGGAAGAAAAGAAAAAGGAAGAACAAAGGGCAAGAGAGAAAAGGAAGGGAAAAAAAAAAAAAAAAAAAAAAAAAAAAGATCACCAAAACCGCTGCCGGTGTACAGAGTGGGTGGTAGGGATGGGGTAGGTCACAGCACACTGATCCTGGGACTTGGTCACTTCCATGATCTGAGATATGCACTGTAAATTCTACTGCAATGCGAACTGGATTAAAACTTGTGGTGAATTGTTTCTTCACAAGTTGCGACGATATTGTCTATTCACGCAAATCATAGACCTCACAACCTCCTTCATCTCGCAGAAAGACACTCAAACAAACTCGGCAACACGCCGCTCAGCAACCACCCGATATCCATCCTTGCCCTTCTCAAATCTTCTGCCTCTTCCGGTGACCCATGATCGCGCATCATCTCCTCCAGACGCATCGAGCAGGCCACATACTGCTGGTTCGACGTCATGGACAATCCCTTCTTCTTCCACTCGAACACTTCCGACCACTGTTGTGTAGACTCGTAGTAGTCGCTCATCCATCCACAGTAGACACGTTGGATTGCTTTTGAAACCTTTTCCGAGGATTGACCCGAGTCTGACATGGCCGTGGCCTTGTGGTATAGACCCTGTAAGCGCTGAGCAAAGTCAGGACCAAAATCACCCCTGCTCCATCTCGTTGCCAAGTCCTTGCCTTCGAGGTCGTTCATGATGATGTGTTGGGCGAACGAGGAGATCTGTGAATCAAGACAGAACGGGACCAGCTCCTCCTGTGAAGACGGAAAGCAATAAGGTGGCTCAGAGGGACTATCATCAAGGTAGTGAGACGGGTATGCGTCAAGGGGACCATCACAATCGTTGCGAAAGATAGGAGTGTCGGCTTGCCTGTCTTCAGGCTTGTGGTTTTGATCGATCATCCAAGGTTGCTCTGTGCTTTCAGAAGCATCCGAGCCAGAGCACGTGTCTGTTCCCGAGCGTGATCGTCGTTTGATGGCATACTTGAAGAAGTTCCATCTGGCAAACTGGTTTTTGTACATCTTTGGTCTGTGTGCAGCCCGGCTTTGTCAGTCCTTACTGAACAGTCAATCCCAGGAACAAGGACTACTTACGTTGCTTTGAAATGGTAGGTATTTTCCATGATGACAATGATATCCTTGAGGATGTGGTTTTGCACAATGTACAGTTGGTGGATGACGTTTTTCCAAGGCTCCCAATCCTCCGCTTTGCGTGGGACCATGGGAGTATGCGCCATGTGCCCCTTTGAACTCGTACTCAATGTGGTGTGTCTCCTTACATGAGTTCCGCCGTTTCTGCCTGTCTTTCTTGGGTAGGAGGATGTGCGGCGATGACGAGGCGCAGTCACTTTGCTCCCTGATGGACTCGCGGAACGGGATTGCGGAGGAGATGGGAGCTGGAAGTCTCGTTGGAACCCTGTCAAAGACATTGAAGGCGGACTCAGGAGGGCATTGGCGAATGTGTTGCTGGGGGTGAAGAGGTACTCCAGCTGGCCATGGGGACTTTCATCCAGAGAGGGACTTGAGAAACTATGCTCGGGCACGGGGTAGTCTTCCTGACACTGCCCGTACATGACTATGTCGTCTTGCCTTGCGAGAAATGCTGCAATGATATCGTCTGGAGTTGGAGACGCGGGTGTTGATTCCGGGTTGGTATCCTCTTGAAAGGCGTCTGTGGTCATGTTGGTGATTGTTGGAGAGCAAGACCTGTCAATATGGTTTGTGGTGTTGCGGCGAATGGACAGAAAAAGGCAGAGTCTTTGTGTTTATGTACGACGAGATAAAGTCTGGAGAGGGAAGGGAACACAGCATGTTCATACACTCTTATATCGACCATGGCTCCGTGCAATCTCTAATCGCTGGTGGCAGGTTGAAGGCATCTTCTTCCAGTTGAGAATTGACAAATATCTAAATTGGGATAATGGGCCGTCAACATGGACAACAGCCAACATGTGCCTCGTCCAAGGCAGATCGGATAAGGCAACGGTAGCTGTGAGGTCCAGTTAGTCTTCTGAAATGGTCGCGACCCGGGAGCCTGGCTGGGTGATGAGCATCCCTTGTTTGTTGAGAACCTATCGGCTGTTGAGAGCGGGAAAGGAAGCGGAGGTACGTACCTTTGTCCCGTAAGCCAGCTTGTGCAACCAGGCAGTGTGCTGTGCCACCCGACGGCGTCCACCACAAAGCTAGAAACGGTCCAGGGATTGTAGGACGGCTAGATTCCCGGGAAGATTGCGCCGGTCAGATAAGTATCTTTATCTTTGCCAATCTTGTGCCGCTGTCGTCTTGCTTACTGTGGTTGGCGGTAGAGAAGTTCGGCAACCTATTCCATCCGTTTTGCTTCGCTGCCTGTTGCCGCCAAAGCCGCATCCAGGAAACCTTTCAGCCCATAAAGTATCCGGGATCTGCCCAAGGGAGTTGATTCGCAACATCAATGTCTGTTCATATCAGCTCCTGACGAGTATCGGGTTGGCGCCTAGGATTTCGTCGGTTCGCAAGTTCGGGACAGGAGGGAGAAATGAGATGCTGTCATTCTGACCACGTCGCGATTTTTGCCGTGGACAATCCGGTGTTGATATTCTTCCTCTTTTTGCAGTGAAAGTTGTCTGGTGGAAACAAGAGGACGACGATGCGAGAGCTTCAGTGCTCTTCCCCGCCCAGACAGCTGAATGGTGGGTCAAATGGTAGGGTGACCCAGTCCCCGTTCCGAGCGAGGTCCCTTCCCGCCTGGACCGCCCCACTTATCAAGCGAGAGCAGAGTGGAGACACTGTCTTCTACTTCCATCTACCGACTTCAAGCACACCCGACCCACACACATCTTCCATTTCTGCTGCTGGTTTCCAACTTTCTCTCAAGTATCTTCTTATTTGACAGTTCCCTGACCATTACTCGGTCATCGTATCCAACCAGTTCCCAGCTTCGTTACTAGCGATTCTCCCTGGGCTGAAAAGGATCTCTCCCCTCTGCAAGATCTTTAACTCGCCGCCTCACTTGTTGCACAAAAGTTCGGTCGGCGTCCTCCGGCACAGGGACATAGTCATATGCCTCGTACGAAATGAAGGTCACCATAAACGCCGCCAGCCCCAGGGAGATTATGTACGGAACCGCCACATACGACTCGGAATCCCACGGCCTCCTCTCCAAAATCGGTGTGCACACGACAATCGACAGCCCGATCAGGTAAAGGCCGGTTGACCACGACATGACCATGATGGAGCATTGCCAGAAAAACATTCTTCGTGCGCTCAACACCCATTGCGGCGACGGCGGCGAGGATTGCCCAGCAGCTGTCGCCGTTCCGACCACCGCGGGTACTACAGCACCTGCTTTGCTGCTGCTGCTGCTGCTGCTTGGTTGACTCCCCTGTGCTGATGCGCCAGCTTGTGCTTCAACATCTGTCCTACTAGGAAGATGCTGCTGGGTCAACCTCTTTAGCGCCAGGATCTGATTCAGATGTCGTAGTATGACCTTCTTTGCCGAGTCTGCGTCGGGACTATCCACGTCCAAAGCCTTTTCCTCGTCGAGCAACAGGAGTAATAGTTGCTGTTGCGACGCGACACCGAATCCCAGGATGCACAGCGCCAGCGACGCGTACCACAGAGCTGGGCCGGTCCAGTGTGAAGTCTGGATGCTTCCCCAAGAAAGGGATGCAGTGACAATGGCCGTCAAGGCAAATGCCTACATGTCCGTTATTAACACGATAACGTCATGGCTGAGTGGTGTTGCCAACAAGTCTTACCCCGACTATTATACGACCCAGTTCGTCCCATTTCCCTGTCTTCCAAGTCTTGACGGCCTTCAGTAGTGTCGTTCGATTTGCCGGTACTTCTATATCCAGGTTGGCAACAGCCTGGATCTCTTGGGCAGGCCGAAGAGTACAATAGATAAACATATGCTGGTATGGGAGCGTGACCCAGAACCTGGCCGCAATCAAGACAGAAGTACCTGCCTTGTTGAGCCACTTCATGGTTGAGACTTCTTTTGGTGCTTCGAGAAGGCGACAGGTGTACAACAAGTGGTGAGCTGCGAGTTAAACACTTGTTTACTCCCTCAACCAGCGTGGGGGTTCCCGCTAAATAGGACTCAGATGTGAGGTGGAGTGCTGTGAAAGTTGAGTCCTCCCAAGAGCCCGAATACAGTCCAATCACAAGGAGATGTTTATCTACCTACAAGCGACATATGCAGGTGGACCAAAGGGAGGATGGCGTCTTTCAGCCTCATTCATCAAAATCCACTTGTTCCCTCGCTCATTGCACATCATTCACGCCGCATTTGAACCTAAAAGACATTACATACCTTCTGTTAGGTGTTCGAGATCAATGTCCTTGCATTGGATCTACACTAACCTGCACGGGCAGTGACATGTCTCCTCGCCATAGGCTGTTAAACGTGATTTGCCCCACACACGGGTGGCTTGCAGTTGTGCAGATTCAGCTTTGACAGCCTGATGCTGCCCACCTCGGAGACACATTGAAACACTCATAACATTGGTAGCTATCTGTCAAATCAATTGAAAGAGGTAATTATGGATGAAGGACGAAGTGCTAGTGGATGTATCAATCTAATTAAAGAGAGAGAGAGAATTAGCCAAAGAAGGAGGTACAAGATAGCCATGTGTGGATCATAGAGGTATCCACATGTGCCAAGGAATGCCAAGAGCTGGTGATGGCTTCAACACTGTATACACCACACTACACTACTCAACTTTTCTTTACACTTTTTTCTCCACCACCACCACCACCACCACCATCACCATCACCATCACTCTTTGTAATCAGCACACTTACAATGGCCCTATATATTTCCACAACAGCGCCTCTTAGCAAAGAGAACCTGCACAGGTAGGTACCTATATTTCCAGTCTTTAGTCACCCATGTCTCAAGCACAGCGAGCGCTATGTCCCAAGCGCACGTATTCTAAGAGGTGGCACAGTGGTCAAATTACCGCCTTCCACTGATGATTCTTGTCCCCGGTGATGCACTGCCACAGCACAATTTTCGTGTCATCCCTTACTTACCGATCCGGTGTATAGGTCGACGTAGAGTTCTGTTTTGTTTTGTTTTTGTGCGTGCCAGTCTATTTGTAGCCGCATTTTCACACACGTCTAACTGGAGTGGGTAGAGAGATATGGGAAGGTGAGTTACTTGTGCCACTAGAGGCTTGGTCTAGAACCAGATACCGTTCTGGCTGTTGGTACAGCCACTTTTGTGAGGAGGCTTTAGTGTTGTTGTAGGCGCAGGTTTGGATGGTGAGCAGGTGAGGGGGGGGGGGGGGGAGTTGTTGGATCTTCCTGTTGGGTTTCTGAGTTATGTAAATGTAGATGGATCTCCCGCTGCCCTACAATATGAAATCCGTTTGTCACGGCCCCATTGTTGGCCCTTTTCCAGATTTGTCACCTGCATTGCACCAGCTATACACTCCTTATCGCCATCCCTCTTCCATTTCCTTTTCCTTTCCCCCCACCCCCCTCCCCCCAACTCGTTGTTTTTCTTTCGTTCTTTCCTTTTTTTTTTTTTTTTTTTTTTTTTTTTTTTTTTTTTTTTCTCTTCCCTCAATTCTTGCCCAATTACTACCCCTTCCTCCTTCCATCTTCCCCCTTCCTCTCTACCATACCAACCAGTACCTCGTACACATCCACAGTACCAGACCACAAGACAAAACAATAACAACAACAGAAACTCACCACCCCCACCATCCAAGCAAAACCCGGTATCCATATCAGCCAACTGCACCTTCGTACTTCTATTCCCATTCCCATCCCCTCTGTCATCCCTGATCCACCACTCCTGCTCCGGCCTCGAATTAGTCTTAGCTGCGACACTGAACAGAACAATGCTTGATCCGCTTCTGACGGGCGTCTGCGCTTGTATTTGATGGCGCACTTGGTGTTCCATATGATGCTGTGGTGAGGAGGACTTGGCGGTAGCTTTGTGGAATTGAGAGGGTGGTGGTTTGGGAGAGGGGGGTTGCTGCGAGGGCTAGAGGTAGGGCTAAGGAGAGGAAGAGGAGGGCGGGGAGGGCGGCAGGCAAGTTGCTGTGAGGCGCATTTTGATTCTTGGGTGCGGTGGTGTTTTACGGAGGAGCACAAATGGTGGGTTTGGGAATGGCAGAGGCATAAAAGGAAGATGCCGGAAAAAGAGGGCTGGGAAAGGTAAGGCGTTGGGAAGGAGTGGAGGAATGGAAGAATGGCGGATGGAGGCACGATGGAAGGTGAGGTGGTTGGCTGATATCAGGCGATGAGTCCAGTCTTGTCTATTTCTTCTTCACCTAGCACCACGACACTCCATATTGGCACTTGAATATACGTAGAGCCTTGTGATTGCGTGTTATATGGGGTTTTTTTTTTTTTTTTTTTTTTGCCTTTGCGGGCAACTCTTAAGGAACGAACAGAATTGGTTCCCGCGGGATGGAACAATTCCTGGAGGCGGCTGATGTCTCAACAGTCTAGAATGCGGAGATGTCGTTTCCGCTCAATCAACCAAGTAACCAGCCACTGTCGCCTCCTTTGCCCCTGGTTCATGTTCCCATTGTGCAAATGTAACCGGAAGCCAGATTTACCTAGGATTTTTGAGGTAGAGGTATACTTCAACAACCAAAAGCTTACGCTCGGCAGTTACAAAAGTGTCACCTGAGAAACATCATGGGTACGGTACCTTGGGTACCTACTGTAAAAGTACCCAGCATCACAAGAAAATCACTCGATTGTCTACTATTCGAGTCTGGGATTTGTTTCATGCCTGCTGGGTAAACCTGAAAAGGAACGAAACCTGAGGTCCGAGACAGCACACGAAGGCATTGGACGTGGCTTTTGATAAAAAGGAGGCTGAGAAATGGTAGTGTGATAAGAGCCCGAAGAATAGCCAGGAGATATATATGCCATGTTAGGGTAATACCATGGCATCAGCAGCGGACCAAAGTCTCTGTCTTTGTTTTGTTCTTTCTTTCAGCTCTGAGCATTCGAGTGGTCTTATCTTCATGTTAGCCATTTCTGTAACCCTTCATGTTAACCCTATAAAAAAAACTCCAAAACCCTCTGACTTGTTCGCATTTGCCGGGCCATGCAATACCTAATTTCGACACTGTCGAAGGACCAAAGGCTAGAGACTCACCATGAATATCGTGAGTCATTTCCAGTGGACTTTTACCATCAACCAACCAAGAACCATCTCGAAGTCATTCGAGTGACTTCTTCGTTTCTTTGAGCCGAACTCGGCCGAGCCTATTCCACGCCAGGGTGAGGGTGGGGATCTCATGACGTCACCAGGATCTCCGCCCGGGACCAGCCCGGGACAAGCTCCCGGAAGTCCATATTCGGAACGAAAGGCATCATAATGGTCATCGGCCGCCGTACTCGCGACATGCACCGACGGCAGCGACGACAACCTTGATGATTCTCCCTCTGTGTCAAGATGGGAATGATGAATTGGGTATGTAAGCATGATGCCCTTATGAGGAAATCAGGACAGATTTGGGATGAAGATTCACTCAGGTATCCAGAGTGCGAAATTCCTCTGTAAGCTCCCCGCGTTGAAAAAAGGGCGATAATGTCGTCAAGGGCGTTTCGTTTGTGATATTTTCCAAGGCGGGGAGATCTATCAAAGCTGGGAGGGGGAAAGAAAGAGTGGCACGGTGATGGTGGATGAAGAGGAGATTGATTGTACACAGGACACCGAACCCATCGCATACTTATTTACATAGTTTTGAACAAGACCGCTCGTACGGATTGTTTGGATCGTGCACTTGGCGGTGGTGGGATTGATATTTGGAATTATACTATTGAAGATGCCTGAAAGAGGTTGGATGTTGGTTTTTGAAGAGAGTGACGGAAAATTGACAAAAGTGAAGACGATCCGTCTGGTGGAACGGATGGATGGAACGTTACGGGAAAATTCAAGGAGCAAAAGTAGGGGTGGGTCATCCCCCGCATTCTGGCATTTTGGGAAGGGGGTGTTCTGTGACCTCTACACTACCGGTGTCAAGTGGACAAGGTCTGGGGCACGAGACGGACCATGTGAATGTCTTTTTCCGCTAGGACTTCTGCCTGATCAATCTGTTCAGTTCTGATGTTGGCACGGGAGGCTTGGACTTTTGCTTTGAGTCGCAGATGCGATATTTCAGTTCTTGGCTTGGATTAAGCCGAGTTGCTTCGAGGCGGCATATTGCCTTTCATCAAATCCAGAGTTTATCATGATTGCCATATAATGCTGGCGTATCCAGAAACGGTCAAAACTGAGAATCTCAGAAGCCACCCTTCAGCATCTCGTCGACATAAAAACAAAGGTTGGTGGCAACCGATCAGCACAATAACTAATCAGCGGACAGGGAGATAGCCGACGGGACCCTGAAGGAATCTCGGGGCCGCTTTTCTCCAATTGGCGGTCCTGCTGATGGTAATCGAATCGTCGCGGGTGATCGATCTTCTTATCATCAGTTGCAGGAGGGAGGCCTGGGATGGAGGGCCACAAGGCGCAGGCCGTCTCTCACGTTACACGCGCGAATGCAAAGGTCATGCTCCGTCATGTCCATCGTTACCTCTTTTGAGACTTTTGTCAGCTTACACGCTACTTCCTATGGTATATTGCCGCGCGAAGAGCCCCAATCTGTCAAGCGATTTGCACACATCTCAGCCTTATCAACCTCGGTGTCTATGGTAGTGGCGAAATGCGTTGGCCTTTATGCGAGCCTTACTATGCTGGGCCATATCAACCGTATCGTGGCATAGTCGGCTTGGCTTGGCTTGGAGCGTCAGACGGACACTCACTCGGCCCGGGAGTTGTGATGCCCAAACTTGCATTTTGACAGTCGCCGCCGACAACGGAAGGACGGTTGGGTCGAAACAGGGACTCCATTAAACTGAACATATATCTCAATTAGGTAGGTAGACTTGGTGTGATGTATCATGATGGTGGTGCCCATGGTGTTGTCACCAGATGGCCCCGCCAAGCCCTACCGGTTATGTACTCGCCTGTGCGGCTCCCGAGAAAACTGAAACGACACCAAGCAAGAAGGGGAAGGTCAAGATGGCGACGATCCAAACAACTGCCTGACCACATGTTTCTGTTGAGTTTCCTGTTTTTTTTTTTTTTTTTTTTTTTTTTTTTATTATTCAATCGTTCAGAGACGGACTGCAGTGTATCGAGGCAACAGGCAGATTACCAAGACATGATAACCACAAGTATCGTGAGACACACATAACTTGCCTCCGTGATCCGGCTCTTTGGTCCTTCGTTCTTTTGCAAATCGCAAGGGCACCTACTTACTATACTCCGTCAGCAGTGGTCAGCTCAACTCAGCCCTCTGTGCCACCGCACAAGATATATTCGCCTTTTTTTTCCTCAAGTTGCGGTCAGACGAGCGACACAATCGTTTCCTTTTACATGATTACACTAGACGACTTTTGTCTGCGAGGCAAAGGCAGCAAAAAGGGGACCACAGGCCAAGAAACGCCGATCAGTGTCAGTGCCACAAGACCATCGACGAGAAATCCAAAGACGTGGTGAACCCTGAATTTTTGCGATTGGGACACGGCGCAGCAGACTACCTAGCAAAAAAGCAAAACAGAAAGGCAGGCAGGTCTGAACAGGGAAGCTCCTGTCGGATCTTTGTCCGATGATGGTTGGAGAGCGAACGAGAGCGAACAAGAGCGAACAAGATTCCACGCGAGAAAAGAGGTCCGGGTCCGGGTGCGATTGCGAATCCGGGGTGCCGTGCAAAAACACAAGGGTGGATGGGTGTCGTGGTGGCGCTAGAAGCCCACTAAAACCGGGTCCCAGGGGGGTACCGAATCGTCGCCGAACACACCGCTGGCGCACGCTGGCGGGGGTCAATCAGGTACCGAATCTGGGAGGGATCCCGTCGGGTCCCGCTGTCGGGGCAGCAAGGAAGACCTGAGGGAGCCAAGCGCACGGGCAGCGCTTGGTTTCTCCCAACAACGTCATCGAAAACTGCAAGGTACCCTTTTTCTTCTTCGCCGAGCTTCTTGCCTGCTCCGTCCTGTTCTTTTTGTTTTTCTCCCGTTGAAAGGAACGGAACCGAACGGGGATATAAAGTACCTACAAAAGTACTCCATTGTTGACCCCAATCTTTTCCCTCCACCCCTCAGTATCGATACATAGCGCATTCCACAAGGTACATATAACATTTCGCCCACGCGACAAGAACCAAAACTCCGATCCGATCGTTGTCCCACGACTCCCCCGTCCGATCCTGAAAAACAAAAATCGCCAAGTCGAATACCCGACAAAAAAAAACACAAGCGACAACACCCGACCGGGCTCTCCTTGTCATCTGCTCTCGACATACATAGCAAGCAGGTACCCCGCGCGGACTTATACCAGGCACTCCTGACTGAACGCTTACGACATCGCTCCGCACTCAGCTTGCCAGCCACCGACCCGTCCCATATCCAGCAGGCAACCAACGGCTATTTTCTCTGGTATATCTTTCTTGCCCAGCAGCCTGACCATTTGGCCTGATCGCCCGCTTTGTCCTCGCCTTGCTTCGTTCTCTTTTTCCCGCGACACATTTTTTGCTGGAATCCTGGGTATATCGCGACTGTCGATTTGCACCTGACAGTGGTCCAAAATATTGAATCGAAGCGACAAGACCTAGTGTAGAACCTGACTCAAGAGAGATTGATGTCCGGTCCGTGTGTCACCTCCCCGGCAAGCCGACAACCGAGACCCACATACCTTGAACAGGCAACCCGTTGTCTGATATATTAACTTGGCCTCCTCCCTTTTTCGTCTTGGGTTTCTCTTTCACCACCCATACATACCCAACAACCTTGACCTACAACAACAACCACAACAGCCATATATGGTCTCGAAACCGGATTCTTCCTTAGCTTCATCCACAAACTCAACACCAACACCCTCAAATTACAACAAGCGCTCAAGCAGGGAACAAGCTAGCATCGCAACAACAACCACCACCACAACCATTGAACGAACACCACGATCCACCTGCTACCGACAACACACATCACAAAACATGTCTTCACCACAGGGCTCACCGCAGGGCCCGGTCGGCCAGTCCTACATGCTTGTTCCCAATCTGCACGTCCCGGACCCGACGGTGGACGAGATAGAGCTTGACAACACCAACGCATGGATGGTAGCCACCGTTATCGAAGACGATGATCTCATGTTTGGCGGCAAGCCCTTGAGCGCATGGTACGAGGAGGATCGCAGACGACTGAGCTCTAGTAACGAGGATGAAGAGGAGATTCGAGGCCGACAGCGCGACCCCGTCGTAAGGTTCGATGCCCACCATCAACATCGACACCAACACACCCATCATCAACCGCAACTGCAGCACCATCACCATTATCAACATCATACCGTCCATTACCCACATGTCGCTCATACTCATCATACCACCAAGAAGACGGGCGAGATCAAGCACTAAACAGCCCGGTACATTTTGTATTTCCTGGCCATCACACCTCGGCTCTGCCATCCATAGTTGATGTCACACGGTGCATACTTGTGTGCAACACATGTTATGCGACACCGGATCGGTCCATATCACCATGTCCAATATCACCCAAGATACTGTCGGTTACACTGCATCGCCGACCTCGGCTTCCACAGGCTCGCCTTACTTAATTCGACACCGAAGCACCTTTATACAGATCCTCAACTCGTTATCCCGGACTTGGAATGTACGGATACCTTGGGCATATGGTTACGAAGGACGATACTTGATACCCATTACACTCCGGTCCTGGCGATCGGACCCTACTCGCCCTCATCGACCCTGTTTGGGTGCATGGCACAGTCCTTTCCCTTATAAGAGTTCAACGATGTAATGCAGACCTTTTCTTTTGTTTGGTGTGCGGGTAATAATGGTTCATGCCCTCTCGCTCTTCTCTCTCACTTGTTTGTTCACATGATACCACGGGTTTAAAGGTGCACATTGCATACTTTTGGAATGGGTTACAGGAGTTTATGGGGGCGATGCTTTGTTGTCATTTACATATTGAGCGTTGCAAGCCGGTGCCGGATGAGTTTTGCGTCTGACTGACGGACGGGCGGTTTACGGTCGTTCACTGGAGATGTGGGACTGATATCGGCGGCATGTCCGGTTGGAGTGTACTATGGTATCACTGCTTGTAGAGAGAGGTAGTCAATGCCTGGAGCAATTGAACTTGGGATCACAGCACTATTACATCGGTTCTCCAGATTGGATTTGCTCTGTCGCTTGGAGTTGCCCATTGTTTATTTGCATGTGAATGTTCACTACGCTCGTACATTGTACTCTTGTCCACAGACCTTTCCGTTATTGCTCGAAGACGTGATTCCTTCCTATCGGCCCAGTCTGAAACCTCCCATCTTCTTCAAAGATACTTACCTCCAAGTAAGTCAAGTCAAAGAGTTGGACCCTTCTTTCCCTTCCGTTGCGCCACCACCCCCCCCCCTCCCTGAATACCCTGACAGGTTTGTTGCGTCGGCAACAAAGAACTAAGCAACTCTAGCCGTCGGACCTAGAGATGGCAACCCTGCTACCCTGCATCCGGCAACTTGAACCAACAATGAGCCTGGACCCCTTGTTTTGGGAAAAACAAACTGTAAGTTTTTGGTGGCTTGGCATGGATGCATGGCTGGATAGAAAGAAAGATAAGACGGAGGAAAGTAAGATGAAAAAAAAAAAAAAGAAAGAGAGGAAGAAAGAGAGGAAAGATGGCGCACGGGAAGCTAGGTGGATAGAGGTAAGTAGCTCGTCCACATTCGCATCAACATCTACATATACAGATGCCACGTGGGCCACGTGGAAATGGGTCTCCAAGGGAGATCTAAGGGGGCTCAAGATGAAAGTGGACACGATGTATGTATAAGTCCGAGTCGGGGTCGTCTGGGGTCTGGTAGACATCATGATGGAACTTGCCGTGCCGTGCCATGCTGTGCCCTGTCGTGCCGTCCACTGTTCACCACCGTCCATCGCCGCAGTCCATTATAGTCCGTCACGGTCCAACACAACAACATGAACTTCCGTCCACCTAACCTACCTACCTCTAACTATGGCAAGTCGTCCGATGAGTGATGAAGACCAAAAAAAAAAAAAAAAAGAAACCGGAAGTATGAAGTTTTTTTTTTTAGTGTTTGTTTACATACCTACCTACCTATCTCTACCTACATACATAGGGTACTTAGAAGTAGGTACCCAGATGGAAAATTGAAGTGAATAAGTAGGATAGATAGATACTTAGATATTGTAGGTAGGTAGGCTAATCGCGTAATTCACCACGTGCGGACTCCCCTTCCCTTTTCCACCGCCACGCAACAAAGGGTTTTTGATGAAAGAGTTAGGTACCTAGTACTATACTACCTCTAGTACTACCTATCTAGAAAACCTGGAGAAGTCCAATCCGACCCGCGCGCGCAAAACGGCACGGTAAATTCCATCTTGATACTCTACCTAGGTCGCCGTTGATGGGCGAGGGAAAAGAAAGAGAAAGAGGCTGAGCGCCATCGTTGCGTGGATCGCGTGGTATGGCTGGATTAGTAGTAGTTGTTGTTTGTTCGGTCGGTCATCTTTCTTTGTTACGAAGCCATGGATAATTTCCAGGGGGAAGCAAGGGGGAACTAAGGGGGGAGCCACTCGGAGGTAGGCCATTGTTGGACTCGGACCCGAGATATGAGATGCAGAACATGGGATGGATGGATAGATAGAGGGGAGCCACGTGGAGGATGAAGGGATTGTCTGGGGATATGGAGGGGACATCAAGGGATGGAGAGTTGTGAGTGTCATTCATCCTGTTATGTTGTTGAACGATGATCGAGGTTAGGGTTTTGTCTGCGCCTCTACTGTCATGGGCGCACCCAGCACATTGTCGAGAGATGTCCACCGGTGGCACCTGCAGTTCGAGTTGTGAACAGACCCAAAGTCTTTTTACCATCCTTGGTAACGAGGCAATGCCAGCGCACTGCAAACAAAGAGAACGAAGTCATCGCCGATTCTTGGCGCCAAGAACTGCTTGGTCTGATGTTTCAAAAGATGGAAGGTTCGGTTCGGGCTGTTGACATGCTTACAGGGACCACCACGCAGCTGCCACGCAGTGAGCCGTTAGCGGATCGCCCCCCCTGAATTTTGGCGTGATCTGGGCCTTGAGCCCCTTCGTGTCAATTCTGGACCATGCAGAATTTCTTCCCATCTTTCACCCCATTCGCCCTCGGCCGTAATCCGGACGACAACGGCCCGCAAAGTAAGGTGATGATGATGATGACGGGTCGAGGTCTGGTCTCGATGTTTTATTTCCCACTCACTTTTAGTCCAGTCTCGGCGGCTACCGAGTATGTATCGAGACTCGAACGATGCTTTGATTTCATCGACGACATCATCACCCGTTCTGTCGGGTGGCCTCATCTCGGGCCTATGCTGAGATATGAGAACTGAGTGTCATTTGGTAACAGACAAAAAGCTGGAAACGCGGTGAGTGGATATTTCTACACAGCCCGAGTCCATCGTCGATGAGGTGACAGGTCGGGACCCAGGGACGAATCGGACAATTGACACGCGATGCTACCTAGGAAAACCCTCGTTGGGCCTTGATGAGGCTTCTACACTGCGCGGGATGACTGTTCGAATCCCTACGGCAACGCACCCGATTGTTCGTGAACACAGCCATGGATGCACTTCCCCTGAGTGAAGGTGCATCGCCACTTTAACGCCGTCGGCCATATGTTTGGTTCGCCGGACAACGATGCTGTATCCCCATTTTCAGACCACTCATACCAGGCGCCGATACGTTGTTCTTGAACAGCTCTGGTTGCTCATGAACAGAGTCGTACTTTACCCTGAACAGTGGCCTTGAGTGGATACCAACAACCCTACAACATGTTGACAACGACTGGACATCGACGGTCGCCATCCAGGTCGTCCATACCACATGTCGCTTAGCCGACTTTATCAGGACATCGAGCTGACCTGTTCCTGTCCCTCCAACTCTTCCCAATACCACATCCAGCACAGCTCGAGCTCATCAGCCCAAGACTTGCTTCCTTTGCTTTCATCATCAACATCCAACAACAACAACAACAACAACAACAACAACAACAACAACAACAACAACAACAACAACAACAACAACAACAACAACATCATCATCAAGCATCATCATATCGAACATCGCTATCGCCCATCATGGCAACCGACGTCCAACATCACCATCCCGCGCCGACGCATGAGTCAGCAAGAGGCCACCAATCGGTTCCCTCCAACTCAACCGCCACGACTGTAATCGGCTCTTTTGTCCCCTTCAAGCTTGAGGGCAACGACACAACAACGCCACCCAGTGCCGTCGACACCGACACGGACGATGCCAATCTTCCCGAACCTAGACAACTCCTCGAGAGAATCCCGACTGTTCTCCAGCCTAGCATTCCGTGGAGGAAGAGGCTGATGCACTTTACCTTTGCCTGGTACACCGTCACGTAAGTTTATCCTCTCTTCACTTTGCTGATGAGTGATCGTCTCATGTCAATAATGACGACCCACTAACATAATAACAGACTTTCCACCAGCGGTGTCTCTCTGGTCCTGGCCACCACCCCCCACCGTTTCCGCGGTCTCTCCACCATCGGCCTCGTCATCTTTCTCCTGGACTTGCTCTTCTTCTTGGTGATCACCACCTCCATCACCCTCCGCTTCGTTCTCTACAAGTCCACCTTCCGGCGCGCCTTCACCCGGCCCCACGAAGCCCTTTTCGTCCCGACCTTCTTTCTTTCCATCGCCGCCATCCTCTGCAACGTAGCCGAATACGCCCGCATCTTTCTTTTCAACGGCGACATTTCTTACGGCGTCCCCTCCGATGACGACGACGACGACCCCCGCGCCTCACTCACCTCCTTCGCCACCTTTCTCTGCGTCGCCTTTTGGGTTTTCTCCGGTCTCACCTTCCTCGCCTCCGTCATCCAATACCACCTCCTCTTCACCGTCAAGGCCGAGCGTCGCCTGTCTCTCACAACCATCACGCCCGCCTGGGTCCTGCCCATCTTCCCCGTCATGCTGATAGGAACGCTTGCCGGTTCGTTTTCCAGGACCCAATCCCCCTCGTCAGCAATCGGCATGATCTGCGCTGGTCTAGCGGCACAGGGTTTGGGGCTACTAGTCAGCTTCTTCTTTTTCTCGAGCTACCTGAGTAGATTAATGGCCTTTGGTCTACCCGCCCAGCGCGCAGGCATGTTCATCGCCGTTGGCCCGCCGAGCTTTACAGGTGCGGCGGTTGTCAGCATGGCGAGCGACATCCCCAGGGTGTTTGCGCAGTTGGATCCCGCGCGCGTTGCTGTCCTTACTGGCGGCATGGGACCCGAGAGCATGGAGACGTTGGCGGCGGGATGCAAGTTGGGAGCCATCTGGCTGGGTGTCTTTCTCTGGGGACTCGGGTTCTGGTTTTTTATTAGTGCCGTGGCCGGGTGTGTCGCAGGCATGCAGGACAAGCGGTTCCATTTGAGTTGGTGGAGTACCGTTTTCCCGAATGTCGGGTTCACGATTGCGAGTATCAAGATTGGAGCCGGATTGGGCAGTGAGGGGGTGTTGTGGATGGGAAGCGGGATGACGGTTGCCTTGGTTCTGGCGTGGGCGTTTATAGGGTATCGCTGTGTCAGGGCGGTGGTGAAGAGGGAGATTGTTTGGCCGGGACATGATGAGGATTCTTGATTCATGAATGAAGCTGTTCAAAGAGTGGAAGAGGGGGAGAGGTCAAGCTGGATTTTGAGGTTCTGGCTGGTTACGACTTACGACTTTATGTTACGACACGGGTTATTAATGGTCCATGACATTGGCTTGGGATTGGGGAACTAGGACCGGCATGGCACACGGAGTTCAAGGGGCGTTTTCGGCTTCATGAAAGACTTGGGTTTAGAGGACTCGGTTTTAGATACCGCATGCATGTAAAAGACGGACAGACAAAAGGGTTCAGGTTGAGACTTGGGACTGACTTGAGGTTTGGGAGATGTAAGGGTATGAATGGAACGAATAGTCGTTGATGGAACAACGGGGTAAATGTACGATTCACGGTACTGGAAAAGGGTCATGTCATAGCTTGCAATGGGGAGGAGTACAGATGAAGGATACCACTTTCGTCATATGTTTTGCTAGCAATAGTAGACTAAATGGAATTGTGGATCCTAACGTGTGGCATTATAAAGTGCAGCCTAGTGACACGGTGATATGCATCATTCTTAAGGCAAATATCGACGAAAAAAAAAGGGTAAAAGGAGAAAAAAATAAAGATACGACGTTCAGTAAGCCCAACGTTGAGTTGTAGAAAAAAAAAACGAAAAAAAAAAAGGTTATGAAATGGTCATTCGTGCGACGTGGGCCTGATTCGAACAGACGCTCCCGAAGGAACAAGATTTCTAGTCTTGCGCATTAGACCACTCTGCCACCACGCCGAGTGATTTTGATGGAAGTGGGTTTTAGCGTTTCAATTATGTAGGAAAATCCCCGTCCAGCCCGAGTTTCGTCTGCACATGCTACCATCCGGCTTGTTTCTTTCATCATTCATATATTTCTTCATCTTTACAAATTTCTTTGCATAGAGTTTTGTCGAAAGAGCATCGCATATAATCATCCATTCTGCCCAATCAATGCAATTTCATCGTCGGCGTCACAAGCGGACGTTGAAGGACTGGACTGCACCAATACATACAGCATGACGGGGGTTTTGCTGAGACATGCAGCTGAGCTAGGTGTGCATCGCCAATGGGGCAGTTCACGGCGTTCGAGTCATGCCGTAACGTAGTGGGATATGTAATGTACACTAGAAGACGCTAAAAGGCTTGAGAAGGTAGGAACTTTTAACGGTTACAGGAGTCACCTAATTGGGACGTAAAAGCGTTCATCGAGGTCAATAGCAGGTGTGTCGTCGGGTGGTTGCCGACGCTGATGGCGTTTCCTGCTGCCAACACGCTGTTGAAGTCGTGGTCATTCAATGCGGGTGCTAGGGAGCGAGGGGGGACGAGGCTGGGTTTGGGAGGATGATGGAGTACGATAGGGAGGTACCGGGTAGGTGATCCGGGAGTTACGGTGGGCGAGGTGAAGACAAGAGACTTACGAGCGGGAAGAATAACGAGCAAGCGCATCCGGAATTGATGTTGTCTGGATGCTCTTGGGAAGGACAAATACACCGCCGTGAGGGAGAAGCACATGACGCAAGCCTTCATCGACTTGCGTCCCACGACGAACCTCTCGCCGAGATCCAGATCATGCTCGGGTCGGTTGTACGTCCTTTCACTCTTTCGCCCTTTTCACTTTCCCTCTCCCTTTCCTTTCCTCTTATTCCCATCTCCCATGTTCCCCCATACCTAGGTAGAGGTACCTATTTACTCATCCCCAGAGGTAACCATGCATGCTTACGGGCGCGCCGGCTCCAATTCATCACTCAACCTTCTTCCAACGCCATCCGCCATGAATTCACCACAGCCAGAACATGGCGCTCGGCCAAATCTCCTCTCTTATGTATAAGGGGGGATCACGATCCATGGATAAATATGTACCGGGAGGGCAGGCAGAGGACAGTTTAAAGTAATGCGTCTATGTCGCGACAAAGAGGTGTTTGCTGAGGATGCGCATAGGTAGATATTCTAGTTCCCGATCGAATGCGTGATTTGATATTTGGGAAGGGGGAAAGCATCTTGCGCCTTTTCGAGTAAGATTTTTGTGGAGATGAGTATTGACAGTCCCGGGAATTGGGTCGGTGGGGGAAATTGGCTGGGTTGGGTGATGATCTCGATGAACTAACAACAACATGATTCAGGTGCGTACACTAGTGTAGCTGCTAAGAACATACACTACACTACGTACGACATGGCGCCGATCGATGCCGCTAAGCCGCTACCTTGATTCAAGGTTCACGACTTTGCTTTTTGGCAGGTGGAGGACTTTTGACTGAAGGTGACGAGGAGGATGGATGTGGCTTGATATGGCTGCTTCATCTCCAGATGCTTGGAAAAGGCGTGGAATTACATCTTGGCAAGTACCAGTACATCATCCCTTTGTTTTCTGTCCATGAACAATAGATCTGATGTCCTTATGCAACAGCGATTGACTCCATCATCATGGAACGGGAAAAGCCACGAGGAAGCCACCCGGTTGTGTGTAACCCAGCCTCGGCACACTCGAGCTGTCACTCCTTTTTAGGGCCTCGGTCGAATGCTGGTGAGAGCATGGACATGGCCAGGTAAAAAGGCGGACGGCCGGGGGTTCCGGGATGGGGCGGAATCATCATCTCCGCCATCCGTTCCCAACGCCAAACGTCTGGGCCGTTCTTGGCGTTAGGTACCTAACTCTGGAGTCCATCCCGACTTGAGAGTCGCTTCGAAGAGAGATCTCAAAACATCCAAGTCGATTCGTTTTGTATCGTCTTTTTTTGGCTTTTCTATCAACCAGTCTAGTGGGAAACCAGTGTCAGGGCAAAGTTCCCAAAAACAATGCCAAGAATGGCCCAGACGGTTGACGTTACATCCCGTACGATTTCCTTTCCATGTTGGGTATAGTCAACAGTATAAACGAGCCTTGGATATCGAAACCCCAGATTAGGGGAGCTCGCTTGCGTGCCCTGTCCCAGTCCTTGGCCTACCGCACAATTCGCCCATAACGGAGACCTGCTCCGTGCATCACACCAGGATTCGGCGCCAATCCGTGCTGCCCATGGTAGCCAGGAGCAAGCTTCAAAACTCTCACATAAGGTTTGGCCTTCCCCAAAAGAGCATCTCCGTCGTGAGGGACAAGATTTTGCGGGAGTAGCCCCAGGGGAAAACGGGCGCCATGGAAGTGAGATAGGGCCGTACAAACCCTTTCTCCTTCCTATTCGACGGTAGTATCAGTTACCAATCACGTAAAACCAGCGTCACATTGAACATTCTTGGGATGTTCTGGACTTGGAGAAGGGGGGAAAAGAAAAAAAGAAGTGGAAATTGCTGTACACCAGATCCTTTACCGGTTCGGGCCTCGGTCTAGCCCACCGGTCGTCCAACAGATCGGACGTCGTCTTACCTACCTTTCCCGTCCTTCCCGTCTTACATCCTGCTTGTCTCCGTCTCTCTTTTTTTGGGTTTCTGGTTCCTGACTTGAATCCAACCTTTTCTCTACTTCACATGCCAACAACCTTCCTTTCCGCTTCTCGTCTAAATTACCCTCTGCAGCTTGGGGTATCACGAAAAAGCAAGTCTCCTCTCCACTGACTGAGAGTTACACAGTACACACCTGCTATTCTTATCGTTGCGGCGGTTCTCGGTCCGACTTATCAACTACCGCTGCCACCTTGCTTTGGGCCATTTTGATCCTTGGCCATCTAGTTGGCTGTTGGTCGTAACTGGGCTCCACGCCCCTTCTGCAACCAGACCACCGGACCCGAACCAACGGAACTTTGACTATCCCATCCCATCTCGCCTATCCCCATATTCATCTCTACATACATACACTACAGTCTACAGTATCTGCATCTGATAAATCGACGAACCCGTTTCTTGGCGTAACCCACAGGGGGGGGGGGGATCAGGGAAAGGGAAGAGAGAAACAAGGGGTTCATGCCGGTAGATGAACTTACAGGTACCGACATCATCGACTGCATGAGTACAGCTTCACCAACACGGAGACAGCAATAACCTCATGGCCTCAACAGTAGGAGCAGCCGCTTCCTCTTTTGTCGAAGCGGCTGCTCACCATGCTGTTAACGCCATTCATCTGGAGGGAAGGGCCAGTGGCACCACCGTGCAGGTGATTCCAGATCACAGGTCGAGGGTGGCCCTAGTGAACTTTAGTTGCTGGTTCCTGACTTCTTTCGCCACCTTGTTTTTGGGGTTGCGCATCTACTGCAAGAGATACCGAGGACGTGGATTGTGGTGGGATGATTATGTTTTGATTCTATCATGGGTATGTCTTCCATGTCTCTCTCCTAGCAACCTACCTACCTACCTAACCACGGCCCCAAACCTAGCATCCATCCATTCATCTATCCATCTTTTCTTCCCCTTCCTTTAATGTTCCCTCCACCCTTCTATTATCCCCAGGCAAAATCCCCTAAAAATACCAGTAGAAAGAAAAAGAAAAAGAAAAAGAAAAAAAAGAACTAACAAAACAAAACCACCTACAGATCTCCCTAACCACCTCCTCAGCACTCATCTCCTACTCCACCACCCTCGGCTTCGGCCTCCCCACCTCCCTCTTCAACCCCACCAACTCCATCCCCTTTCTCAACCACTACCTCCTCGTCACCAACTTCGCCGGCACTTTTAGCATCCTCGCCGCGCTCTGGTCCAAGACCTCCTTCGCCATCACCGTCCTGCGCATCGCCCAAGACGACTGGATCCGTTTTCTCATCATCTTCATCATGATCTCCGTCAATCTATCGCTCGGCGTCGCCGTCGGCCTCACATGGGGCCAATGCGACCCGATCCCCAAAATCTGGCAACCTTATCTGCCAGGGACCTGCATCGACAAGTCCATCCAGATCCACTACAACATCTTCACGGCTGTCTATTCGGGCACCATGGACATTGTGTTGGCGATCCTGCCATGGAAGATTATTTGGATTTTGACCATGAATAAGCCGGAAAAGGTGGGCATCACGGTGGCCATGTCCATGGGTGTGTTTGCGGGGGTGGCGTCGATTATTAAGGCGAGCGAACTGCCGACGATTGGAAACTCGAATTTCACGTTTGATAGTACGAATTTGGTGATTTGGGGCATTGCCGAGTCGGCGATTACGATTGTGGCGGCGAGTATTCCGATACTGAGAGCGTTGTTGAAGGAAGCAACAAGAGGAGGGGGGTCCAGATTGCCGCCGCCGCCGCCGGCCGAGTTTTATAATTTGACGAGTTTGGAAAGTGGGAATCAGCATGAAGAAGGGCAGGAGGGGGGTGGGAATACGGAACGGGCGCAAGGGACAACGACGACGACGACGACGACGACGACAACGACGCAAGGGACGGGAGGGACGGGGGGAACAGGGAGTATGACTGTTACGGGGAGCGATAAAACAGGACGGAGTAGTAAGAAGAGGGGATTGTTTGGGAGTTTGAGTACAAGTTTGACGAGGGGGAGTAAAGGGAGTAATAGGAGCAGAAGTAGTAGTGATGGAAGGAGAGATGGGCAGGAGGCTGCAAATGGACACGGACATGATGATGGGAGGCCGGCGGAGGTGAGCAGACTGAGTAGGTTGAGCAGAGAGTTGAGCGTGGAGACTGCGGAAGGCTTATCACGAGGGGATAGTGATGACACGGTACATCAACCGAGTGTCAATGGTGGAAACCATGGTGGTGGTGGTGTTGGGACGGGACATGCAGTTACGGACCCGCCACCGACGGGAAGGAGTGTAAACGGACGGGACATGGAGGTGACAATCGCGTATGATCAGGATCAGAGGTCACCAACCCGGGATTCGCACACGCGGAGAATGTCGGAATGGCTTGCCTACCAGACCTATATCCAGGGGAGCGATGCCGACTTGGCACATGTTCATGCTATTGTATGACACCATGGGGCGGTGACGATGATGATGGGATCAGGGAGTCAATGGGAAGGAGGCAAAATATCAACAACAAAAAAAGGTGGTTGTCTGTTGTCAGCTTGGTGTTTGGGGTGTTCAACAATCTGTTGAATGTATATTCAAGGATACCCGGTGTGTCAATTCACCACGTTTTCTTTTATTCCTATCGTCTACCATCATGATACCAATAATGTCCCAATGACCCATCCTTCAAATGATGTGATATAGGTTCCCCTCGTCCTTATGTGCATGTGACCAATCTGGAGGACTCGCTGCTTCCCTAGGTACCTACCATGTGTCTCTCTTCATTGCATCCACCTGTCTGTCCAAACACAATCTCGTGCAACGCACATCTATCGTCCCTGCTTCTCCCATCCAAACAAGCAAGCAGGCGAAACAAGAAGCTTATTTAGACACCCGACTCCTCCTTCTGATAATCCACCACCTTCCCCAAATCCGCCTTCCACTCCTCGCAACCCCCCTCCAACCGCTTCATCCTCTCGCCCGCCAACATATTCTCCACCAGCCCCTGCCCATCATCAATCACCATCTGCAGCGCCAACCCCGCGCTCGCATGCCACGCAATATGGCAATGCACCAACCACACCCCCGGATTATCCGGCTTGAACGCCACCGCCACGTATCCACCAGCGGGCGCCATGATGGTATCCCTTCTCGGGGGGTTTTCATAGTTCCACGTATCCATCGACGTAGCCGGATCGAAAGGCTGCTCGCTTTGGGCTAGCAAGACGACATCCGAGCCGTGCCAGTGCATCGGGTGGGCAAGCAAGGGGATCACGTCCGGGTCAAGGTCTGTTTGGTTTGTAGAAGGGAGGAGAGATCCGTCGATGACCATGTGGATGAAGTCGGTCGAGTTGGACGAGTACGGAAGGCGAATGACGTTGTCGTTCTCGGCTTGGCCGATGTTGGTGAAGTCGAGGAGGGAGGGGGTGCTGAAGTTGGCGAAAAGGGGGTTGTGGAAGCTGACACCGCCTTGTTTCTCGACGAGGGGGTCGAGGCGGAGAAGCCAGTGGGTGTAGTTGCCGTAGGGTGCGTCGTTTTCGGTCTGGTGGGAGGGGTAGAAGGTGGATAAGGTGAGGTTGTTGAGAGGGGTGGTGGAAATGGACCAGGGGACGACGGGCCGGAGAGAGGTTTGCTCGGAGATGCGAGCGCAGGAGAAGTCGGTGATGGTGTTGGCGGTTGTGTCGGGAAGGGACAAGTAGGTGGCGGAGGAGTGGCCGTAGTGCAGGATGCCGGTGCGCGGGTCGAGGGGGTCCTCGTTGGTGCTGTCGGTGCTGTTGAAGAGACCGTTGCGGAACGTGTTGCACCCGTCCGCGGGATGTGTGCGGATCCAGTAGTTACCTGAAGGGGAAGGGTTGTCAAGGCCGTGGATGATGATATCGTATCGTTGACCTGTAGTTGTTTGTCAGTCTCTCACTGATCAGGGACAGGGAAAGAGGAGAGAATAATAAGGGGGCCGACAAACCAATGGCGACAAGCAGCGAGTCAACGATCTTTGGCTCGACAGGCACCAGATCATTGGCAATAATCTCCAACGCGTGTCCGTCAATGGAAAAGATAAACGATGTTCCAGCGGCTCCATTGATCAGTCGCAAACGGACCCTCTGCCCCGGAAGGATCTCAGTGATGGGGTACAACGATCGAATGTCTTCGCCATTGTAAGCAGCCACGGCTTCTTTGCTTCTGCCAATACCATTCACTAGGATATTGTCTGCCTTGGATCCACGGACCACCGGATCCTTCTCGTTGTCAAACTCTTCCTCCGCCTTCCTGTACACCCAGTCCGACATGAAGTGGGGCGACGGGAGGGAAACGTCGTAGGGAGCACTGGCTGGACCGTGGACTACGATTGGTCCAAGGACGCCATCGGCATACTGTTTGATAGTAAACTGTTAGCTCCAACACTATATAAGTTTCTGAACTATCAAAGCGCTTGCTTACCTGCAAGATGTAATGGCTATGATACCACGTTGTCCCATACTGCAGCATAGTGAAGTTGTAGGTCCACGTAGAACCCCTGGCAATAGGACACTGCGTCAGGGCCACGCCGTCATGGTCATTGTTGTAGAACTGACGAAGACCGTGCCAGTGAATGACGCTCCCTTCGTCGTCGAGGTTGTTGGTCACATGGACGATTACCGTGTCGCCCCAGCAGGCTTCGATCATGGCTCCGGGATACGTGCCGTTCATGAGACGGGCCTCTCGAGGGATACCATCGGGGGCAATGGTTTGCTTGGAAATGTCCATGTGATACTAGATTGATTTGTCAGATACGGGCCTATGTGTTGGTGGTAAGAATATACGTACATGTCTCTGAATTCCAATAGGAGCAAAGTTGTCATCTGTTTAGGTACAGGACGTAAAGGTCGCCGGGTCAGTATAAACCGATACAAAGGAGTAGCATGATGAACAGAATATGAAAGCGGCGGGCGCACGTACAGTTGGTTGTGACGGTGTATCCCTTGGGATGTGACTCGCCCTCTTGAGCTTGAAGTTGTCTCAACCAGCACCATCTTGAATCGGCCCCGTCGTTGCAGGCTTCCCATTCCTTCGATTTTAAGTTGGGGTAATGGCAGTAGAAGCCTTCGGAGGCACCTTCGGGATGAAAGCTGACATGATCGCTTAGCCCCTTGCGTTTGAGGTCATGCTCTGTGTACAGACGAGGCGCGAGTAAGTCTGAGTTGCCAGCGCTGTACCACTGACCAAAATCGAGAGCCAAGATAGGTTTACAGAGGACAAGAACAGAGACAAGAGATTGGAATAGGTTTAGGCGGTACGCCATGCTTATTGGGTTTTGGGTATCGTGACCTGTTGACAACTGAAGTGCAGATAGCCGAGATAACAGTGAGACGGGGTGGTTAGAAAAGCATGGAGATGGGAACGTAGAAGAGAAAAGGTGAAGAAGAATGAGGGAAGGGCGGACCACCAAGACGAGCTCTTATACCCAGCTCGCGCCCCGTCTGTCTATACAAGGACGCTTACCAAGACATCGTCTCTATTTGCACAAGAAGAGTTGCCAAAACAATGTCGAAACCTGCTTCTCGTATATGTCAGTTCCAGTCCAAGTCTGCAAGGTGCATAATGTTGGAAACGGATCCTGCAGAAAAGGAGGAGTAAAAGGGGAAGGCGAACAAGAATTGGCGGCATTCGGATTGTCTTTTCCCTCCGTATCTCTTCACTGGAAGTTCATCGAATCCCGATATGGCTTACACATTACCCTTTTCCTGGGTTTGTCATCCGTCTCCCTCGATGTTGCTGCCATCTCCATGTGCAAATGCAGTTCCGTCCAACATCACCAGCTCGAAGAACCAAACATCCACATCGTCAGACGGCCTGCTTTGACAACCCGAGGCTCTCTTGATCGCATCAAGCAAGTCAAACATGCATGGAATGCGCTCATGCTCCGCGTGCATATGCAGACATGCTTTCAACGCCAATCCTGCACTTCGACTCACCGACCTCAACCCTCCTCAATTCCGTTGTCCGAATCAATCCCAGGCACCTGGTAAGCTTAGTCTATTGCGAGAACAAAACGCTAAAGAGCGCGTAGGAGCAATTGGCTAAATTGGATGCTTGCCAGGAAGAAACGACAAGAAGGAGGAATGTTCCACTGCGATGGAATGAAGAAAGTAAAGCTAGTTTTCAGGTGAGGTACGTAAAGGTCTGGCACAACACCCACACATCAACAACTCGACACCAAATCACCATCACCAGCAACCTCAACCTAAACCCTCACACCACTCCTCAATCCTATCCCCGCTCCCCTTTACTTCCCATCCCCAGCATCTGCCCCCTTCGCAGCCGCCGCCGCAGCCAACACATCCCCCGCCGCCTTCACACTAATCATCATGGTCGGCACACTTGGGAAAAACCCCGGCACATTCGGAAACGCACTCGCATCCACAACCCTCAATCCCTCCACCCCCCTCACGCGGAACTTACTATCCAACACCGCCAACCTATCACCCTCAGCTCCAATCTGGCAACTCGACGTCGCATGATGCGAATACGCTTGCAACTTAAAATACTCTGCCTGTTTCCCATCCGAGCACGTTGTTCCATTCTTCTTTTCAGCCGACGGACACGGATGCAGTTCCTCAAAAGGCAAGACCGGTTCCCCCGCCGCTTGCCAACTTTCCCTTAGTATATTCGCCGCACTCACAAGTTCAGCTAGATCCTCGTCTCCACCATGTTCAAAGAACCGAAAGTTGATCTCCGGTTTATCCTGCGGATCGGCAGACAGTAACCTAACGCTCCCGTCTTGCGAGCGGGGTTTGATATGCACCATTGCACAAGAATATTGATTGGGGCCGTAGTAGGTGGGAAACCCCGGCCAGAATCCTTCAAAGGAAAAAGCACCGCACCAGGCAAAGATGTTTCGTTTGGAGGTGGGCGCGTTGGGGGTTCGGAACAAAATGGTGATGAGACCGCTTGCGATGGGGACTTTGCCTAGCCCCAAAAGGGAACCTTCGTAGTTATCGGTTAAGCGCTCACCTACACCGGGAAGGTCGACGAGCACGGGAATGCCGAACTTGGAAAGCTCGGTGGCCGGGCCGATGCCGGAGAGTTTGAGTAGTTGGGGGGTGTTGAAGACGCCGCTGGAGAGAATGACTTCGCGTCTGGCAAAGTATTGGGTTTTGGGCGCGGTGGTGCCGGGAACGTGTTTGGGGTCGGCGCGGTAGAGGGAGGGCCCGGACATTGCTTCGACGCCGATGGCGCGGGGCTTGGGTCCGGTGGTGTTAAAGAGGACTTTGGTGGCGAGGGTGTTGAGTTTCACGGTTAGAGGATACTTGGCGGGGTCGGCGAGGGTGGCGCGGATGTAGTTGTTGGGACTGTAGCGCTTGCCGGTCTTGTCGGCGTGGGTGGCCAGGTTGAAGAAGGAGGACATGGTGTCGCGGTTGGGGAAGTCGCCGAGGATGTCGGTGTTGGCGAGGTCGGCTACTCGCGAAGGGTCTTGGCCGATGAGCTCGGCGAGCCGCTTCATAATTTTGACGGCCGGGTTGCTGTCGTTTTTGGCCCAGGAGGGGTCGCTGTTGGAGATTGCTAGCCAGCCTACCGTCGTCCGTTGTCAGTTCCCATCTCATTATACGAAAGACTGTCACAAAGAAAACTCACCATCATGTCCATGCGAAGGATCATCAGCATCCGCATACTCATTCCTCTCAATCTTCTTCAAATACTCCCT